ACAGAACTATACATACACCCTTCTTGTTACTGTTTTGTTACATTACTGATTACAGTAGACCTATTTGAACATTAGGTTTTTAATTATTGTTCCATCAATTTATGTAATTGTCCAGAAACATGATTAAAATTTCTAGCAACATTTTTTATGCTGTACAGCACTGAATTTAAAAAAATTTAAGAACATTTAAGAACATCCTGAGGCTGATTTTTCACTAAGCATCCGATAAATAAGAACACAATCAGTCTGACCTCTGAAATTGTGTGTTCTTATATGCGGGTGTTTACTGTATTTGGAAAAGTGTTTCGCCCAAATTTATAGAGTTTTGTATAGAGACGCCCTTCGCTTCGGAGGCGCCCCGAGGCGCACGTAAAGTGAGAGGACGCCGTAAAGTAACAGAAACATCTGTCATTGAGTTTTACCATTGAAACAACAAATTATTACTCTAGAATTCCGACACGTTGAAAGTAATAATTCTTTTATTGCAAAAACTGTTCGGGTACAAAAACTTGAGCGATAAATCCTCTTTTGGCCTATGCGAAAGCCACCTCGGACCGCCATTTTAATGTCACGCATCGCTAAAACTTGGAAATTCAAACGTCCTCTATAACAAAATGAGGGTCTTATATTTGGTGAAACTAAAACTTCAGAAGGTTGGTTATTTTTAATTTTGGAAAATGATGACGTCGTCCCTGTGTGATTAAGAGACTTGCCTCTCTTGTATGATACAATCGGAGGTTTTGTATAGATGTTTTTCAGCAATGGCTGGTTCTGTATGACTACAACCCAGTTATTCATTGAATGTTATTTTTTAGGCCACGTACTGCTGGGTGATATGCTGCTGCTCTGTTACAATGTACGTGAACCCGCAGTCTTAACACACGCGGCAAAGAAAGATGAAAAAAAGAGTTGCGGATGAAAAAAAAAAGTCGCGGGTGAACAAAAGAAGTCGCGTATAAAAAAAGATAGTCGCGGGTGAAAAAAAAAAGTCGCGCATAAAAAAAAAAAGAAGTCGCGAGTAAAACAAAAGTCGCAGATAAAAAAAAAGTCCATGTCCCTTCCAGGCCACCGTAGAAACCGACACAACGTAGGATATTTTTTTTAAAGGCGTACTATATTTCGGCTTGCNTTACAGGTAATAAAGCTTGGTATCACCAGTATATAAATATTCATGTCTTTAGTCCACAAGACCGTATTTGTATTCAATTATATATTACAACATCACGTCATATATTGCATTAAAATAAAATACATATTGTAAATTATTTATAACCAAACAATGTATCCCCACATAACAATTATTTATCTTGATGCTGCAGTTTGACAGCCACTTGATAGAAATAAAATTAATATAAATTTATTTATCTAAATATGTCCAATCATTGCATTTCAAATGCTAACAACCAGTTTAATACATTGTACTATATAATTTAGTCCTGGATGTCATCATTATGCAAATTTTCCTTGTTGATGTCAGTAGGAAGTATTTGTAACAAAAATCTTTGATGAATTGTATTTCAGAAAATACGACCTTCGACTGAAATTAAGGTACAGTTCATAACATAAAATACTTCATCCATTCAGTAAATAAGCACAAATATTAGTACACAGTCCCAATTTTTTAAGCATAACAAAAATTATCTTAAAAATAAATAATACGCATTGCAAGCTTCCACTCAGAGTAAAACACGTAATATACAATGACGTCAAAGCTCAAACCAATTTTTTTCTGACAAAAAATAAGGGAATTCATTTTGTTAGTAAGGCTTTGGCTGGGCTTTTTCCAACAAAAGGAAATTATTAAAAAAAAGTCAAAGAACCCAAAAAGCTTATTAAATGATACAGTCATTAATTAAATTAAAACCTGGAAGGTTATTATAAACACCAAACAGTTTAAAGTAGAGAACTAAGATGCAAAGAAATAATGTCATCTGTTAGACCTAACACTATAAGCATAAAGCTCATGCATCTATGCATGGCTGATCAATAGCTAGGATTATTTTTGGACCTTTTTTGCTTCCCACAGGTATGACAAACTTATTTTGGAGGAGAGTATTACGGGAGAAAAGATGCTTGTTTTCAGAATTTTACAGTGTGAATATAACCACAGTTAACTATTTATGAGTCACACTTTTTACAGCTTTTCATTCTCAGATTATACTCTTCCTCGATGTTAAAAGCAGACACTGCAATAAACATCTGCCCAGCATAATAAGTGGTCATAATCAATACTCTCGACCCAGGCACAGGGAAGCAAAACTTGTTGATAGCAATGATATTGTCTGATAGGTAAAATAAGGCAGCACCGATGCAGGCACTCATTCTTGTCCAGCGGCACAGTCCATTCTCTTCAATCTGGTTTTGAACGCATGTAATGGCCCTCCACATCATTCCAGTGATTACAAAACCATAGATCAAAACGGCAATCACCAGTTTTCCCTTCAGTCCAGGGTAACATATGTAGTATATCAAAAACCCAGGCAACGTACACAGCAGTCCCACAAGCCAATTCTTGGCTTGAAACCCAAAAGCTCGGATGTACAAAATGTGTGCTATGCCAAATGCAGCCATTCCATGGATAAAATATGTGTTTTTCCATACAAGGAAAATATCACCAATGCCTGAGAAGATAAGACCCAGCATAATTCGCCTGCTGTAGTTATGTTCTTTCTCCAGACTTATCCCTTGCAGACTGACGAATCCACAAAGACACAGAATTGGAAGGATTTTGAGGAGAGCTGCAAAGACTGTTGGTTTCTCTGTTTCGGGAAGCCATGCTACAAAGTACACACAGACAGTCTTCAGGAATGGGACAAGCTTAGGCCCAACACTTTTAACCTAATTTGAGAGCAAATATACAATCAGTCAGATTTGAGCTTCATGCAAAAACATTCCAAATTTTCCCAAAGGTGTCAAACCTCTGGCCTTTTGCATATTTGTCAGATTCTTTACCATTGAGGTACTTACGCAAAAAGCTCATTAGGACTATGCCTCTAGACTACATATTGTTGATAATCAAACACCTTGAGATTACCCTACAAGCAGAGTCTCCTTATCTAGCCAGGGATCTGCAAGATTACATAATCATAATAATATTATGGTTATTACTAATATTATTATTTTCATATATCCCTGCTCAATCTCAAAACTTGACTCAACACTGTTCACTGGCCAATATTGTGCTCAAGTTCTGTGATCCTCAACAAATTGGTCAATTTAAAACCCTGCTGGCTCCTTGCCACAGATTCGGTCAAGAGCTGTTCACATGGGTGTGAAATATACGTATAATGACATTGTACGATATCATGCTGACAAACAAACCTATATACAACTTCGACAAGCACAATCGCAGCAGATATTGCAAAATCCATCTTGAAAAAATTTAACCAGATACAAATTTCGTTAAAAGAGAATATTTTGTATGTAACCTTCATCAACCTTGGATTGAGGAAAGAATGTGCTCAACCCCTTGCTCCGCCCCCCAACCAACCCAGCGATATCCGCCCACGCAGTTGACGAAAGCCGGAATATCACGCAGCTGGAAACAAATAACACATCGTAATTCGTGAGGGCTTTAGTTATTGAAATTTCAAATGAAGCAACTTTCGTCTTTCTAACGTCTTCTGTCCTGCTGAATTTCTGTTGAATCTATCCCCATA